AAAGAGATCGTTAAGTTAAATTGTATTTTCGCCGTGAAATAGCAAGCCATCTAAATAACATACATATATCTAAAGAAACAATTGAGTTCCATTCCATTCACATTGGTAGACCCTCTTGACAAATATTGATGTAATACTAAGAAATTGGATATAATGTCAAGTACCACAATGGGGATATGAAAACTAAAGTGAGTATTGACATTTTCATAATTATATGGCATTAAAATTAGGTAACAAAATGTTGTACCCATGTTACTTTTGGATACAATTTTATTAGATTTTTAGTAGATTGTAATAGAAGTTTTTGAAATGTGTGGTTAAAAAGTTGTAGGACTCATGAAAGATGGATTAATATTGATTGTTTAACTTTGATTTAAATTAAAATCAAATTTTAATCCAAACCAAACATGCTCTAAATGTCAATGCAATAAAATTGATATACAACATAAAAAGTAATTAAATTACGTTATTTGTTGAAGTTGTTATCAACGAGGTTTTAAAAACATAGAATTCATCAATAATAGAATCTATATCTATTTTTCAAGCAAACTCTTGTTTGATGTAGTTTTTTCACTAGATTGATCCACCATTGAGAGAAAGAAAGAAGGTTCGTACTTTCATTGAGAGGAAAACGATCTTTCATTTGTTAATTTTATAAATGGTAAACAAAATGTAAAAATTCAATACTTGAACAACAATTAAAAAATTCTACAAAAAGCTAGCAAAGTTAGGGATAGCCAAAAAAAAACCCATCAAACTCGATACCCACGGGTCTCGCTTTGAATGGGTTGAGGATTACCCGCTTAATCAGATATTTGGGTAGAGAAATTTCGCCCCAAGTGTGGGTATGGGTGACACCAGCCTCGCCTCGACCTATTTAATAATTTATTTTTTAAGAATTCAACACTTTAAATGAAAAATTTAACGAAATTTAATTAATTCTAATAAAAGATAACAACTAAGATTATCTTAAAAAAATGATAAATAATAAAAACCTTAGTTTCTCAAATATATTTAATGATAAATAAATTAATTAAAAAATTTAATAACATTATTGTCTCACTTTAAAGAATGGAAACAATAAAATGAATTATAAAAAATTGTAAACGGGACAAGGCATTGCCTCGTCTTGCCCTGTCTTAAACGAGCAATGGGGCAGAAAATTGCTTGATGAGTTCGGGGCGAGGCCATTGCCATCTCTAAGCACGACAACAACAACAATAAGTTGATAAATTGACAACAATTCAAGTTATCCAATAATAAGCTCATAAGGCACCAAAAAAATCAATTAGCGATTCAATAATTTGTCGATGATCCAATAACAATCCAACAATTTCATTTTCATATAAATTGTTATCAATACACAATAGAAATGAAATAATAAATGAAAAAAAAAAAACAAAAAGATGACAAGTACAGTACTTGCTAATTGAGTGTGAAGTAACTAGACACCAGTAGTCTAGCAATGAACATTTTTATGCGCAAAAAATAGAAGTTCATGATTCCATAAATGACTTTATCAAATTAAAAGCAATGGATAACCAAATAATCAGGGTTTCACATTAAATTGGGGGCAATTGCAAATTACACTTAGGGCCTGCTTGAGAGCTTCGAAGTATCAATTATGAGAATTTTTTAAAATATCGATTTTGAACGTTTATGAGCGGATCGATTATAAGTGGTTTTAGCATCGATTTTTAAAACAATCTAACCTGTGCCTAGAAAATTTTATGTTAATATTTTTTAATTATAAATAAACTTTATAGTTGTAAGTTAATTTTGTACTTTTAAATATTTTTTTACGCATAAGTGAATTCTTTTTACTTATAAGTAACTTTTTATATTTTATAAATAATTTTTTAAATTATTATTAAAATTTTTACACAAAAATAATTATTTATCTCTAAGTAATATTTTACTTGTAAGTAGTTTTTTAATTATAAATGTAATTTTTTTAGTTAGTATATTTTTATTTATAAGTCAGTATTAAACAAAATATGTTGGTTGAAAATAATTATTTTATAAAGGATAAAATTAGAGGAGACTTTGAGAAATAGCCAAAAATCTTTGGTAGATTGAAAGAGCCAGTTAAAATTACACTACACTGTTTTTGGGAGATTTTTAAATCACCCAAAATCGGTACTCAAAAAAATTAGCAAGCACCGAATTTTCCAATCCCTCGTAAACGATGCCATTCAAAATCGGTGAAAATAACTCCCAAGTAGGCCGTTAGAGAGAAAATATAAAGAACAAGAAAATTCAGCAAGTTAATATTGATAAGCTTGAAAATATAAAAAATAAGTATATTTCTTTCATTTTTTAATACATTTTTTCTTGGAACCCAAATGGAGAAATTTCAAAATCGGTGAAAATAAAACTCCCAAGTAGGCCGTTAGAGAGAAAATATAAAGAACAAGAAAATTCAGCAAGTTAATATTGATAAGCTTGAAAATATAAAAAATAAGTATATTTCTTTCATTTTTTAATACATTTTTTCTTGGAACCCAAATGGAGAAATTACAAAAATGAGGTTAAAGAAAGAACTTAACAACTTGAAGCTATTGCTGAAAACATCGAGTGTACATATAGCATTATTGAATTTAGAATGAATATTAGTTTCAAATTTACGGATTTGTGAGGTTTTAAAGCGATAGATTATGTGGTCAAACTTTAGATTTGTTCTCAATGGTCACCAGTTCGAGTTCTTTAGAGTTACTGAAGTGAGTGCCTGACTGTAAACTTCATGATCCCATGTGATTAGTCGAGGTGCGCTTAAACTAGTCTGGATACCCATGGTCATTAAAAAAAAAGTGATAGATTATGTGGATTTGGATTTAAGGCTTAGACTTGGAATAATTAGTGTAAGATTTAGGCTGTATTTTTTTTAAGACACGGGCTGCATGTAAGAAAAATAGTAAAAACGGACATGGCCCCAGTCCAACCCCTCCCGGATCCGGATCCGGCTTTGGCTCCGTTTAATTTGCTTTATACATATTTGTGTAATATAATAATATTTAACTATATAAACATATTATCATTTGTATACAATTAAGATTAATTTAGTTTTTTTAATTCTTTTTCATTTCTAATTTATTAAAAACACAAGAACATTTTTTTTTAATTGTGTACATAAAAATGTACGCATGCATGCAGAACTTGTGTAAAAAAACTTGTGGTTATTGAATGAGAACAGACTTCTATTATTAATTATCAGTAATGATGATTTTGGGGAGTTTTTTGCATAGTTGACAAAATAATAAAGGTTGAGCCCCAATTTTGAAAGTCCCCATCGCTCCACCCTTGAAGCATGTAAAGGAGGTAAATCGCGGGATGTATCCCAACAGGCCAGAAAACAAGAGCTTGCCTGTACATTGAGGAGTAATAAATTCCATTCCCAATGTTTAAGTTTGAGTGGTTACTCAAATATCCTTGCTTCCTAATGATTTATTATTATTATTTGTTTTACGGAGTGACAATAGATGAAATAAGAAAATCATTTTATTCGAGTACTAGGTTTAGAAGCAAGCACAAGTCCAGGCCCTTGTCTGATTTAGTTAAAAATTTTGATTAAATTTTAAATTTAAATTAATAATTATTTTAATCATATAATTTATAAGAACTATAACTTTCCTATGACATACTTCATAAATTTTTATTAAACTTTACTAAAAATTTAATTTTTTTCTTAACCAAACAAGAGCTAGTTAAGATCTGAAAATTTTGGTGGGTTAAGACCAGCCTATCAGGAGAAAACATTGGATCATGTTAAGTGACATATTGAACCTAATAGATTTTATTTTTTCCCCCCTTAATTTTTAGCTAAATTTCCAAAAAAGTTGTAAAAGGTTCATGTGGTCTATAAAGTCATATCTGCTTAGATAAGTTGACCTGTTTGCTACTAATCTATGTTTGTTCACCATCTCGTTTATTTTTTAACCTTAAAATTTAGAATAATGCCGTGTGTAGAACTTCACACTGATGTACTAGAATCATGTCAATTTTATTTAAATGGAAGTTCTCAAAAATCTTTTGAATTCAATAACAGTTTTAAAATGAAAATCTATAAAAGCCTACAAAAGATTTTATAAATTCCGTATAAATATTAAAAGTCTATGAAATCTACAAAAGTAACCATTTCAAAAAAGTATATAAAAGTTTTCAAAAATTCTAATTGAATGCACCTCCTAAAAGTTAATATTCTAGATACTTTAAAAAAGTCATTGACATTTTAAATACCTAAAAACTTATAGAGACTTCTAAAAAAATTTTATTGAATTCATCGTAATTTTCTAAACTTTTTTAAAAATTTATAAAAGTTTTATTGAGGCCCTGTTTGGCATCCATTTTTATCAAAATGCATTTTTCTCTCTCTTCTTATCAACCACACATTCTTTATTAAAATAATATTACACGTAAATAAAAAACTTTTTCTTATTTTTCAACCACACATTTCTCATCAATTTACTATTCAAAAATGCATTTTCACATAAAAATTCATACAAAACACCCTCTGAATATATTAATATTTTTAGAGAGTTTCAAAAAGTATATATTGAATATCCACGAACTTTTTGAATCCTTAAAAATCTTTATAAGTCTCAATTGAATGCATTACCTAATTTCCTTTTCGATCGCATTCTTTCCCTACTTGATCTGGAATAAGCGAGACCAACAGAGCATAATCCCCATCCTAAGAGCATCTCCAATTGTGATACAAAATTGAGTGTAAATTGGTATGGTATTTTCAGAACTACTTTTACAACATTATTTACATCTTGATGGATTTAACTTCAGTTTTCGCTCTAATGAAAATATCTTATTTGATTTTTTACCTCTTGTGGATTTAAAAAAGATGTAATACAATTTCTGCTCGAAAATGCAATTTGCATTTACTTTGTATCGAAAATCTAAATTATAATTTAAATTTATTTTACACCAGTCAAAGTGAAATACATGTCAAAAGATAGGGACTTGAGCTGCTATTTTCCCTCGATTGAATTGCCCGTATTGCCACTAACACCAAACTCTCTCCTTCTGCTCCACTCTACTCGCTCTGCAACCATCTCTTCAATAGTTTTGACAAACCCTAAGTCTCTCTCTCAACACACAAAAATACAATACTTACATATATGAGCATATACAAATCTCTAATTTGACTTCGAAAAATTTCTCGCTGAAAAATTTGTATTGCCAATCTTCAATTTGCTTCTTTGTCTAAATCTCATTCCTACTGCGGTGTGTTTTTTCTTATTTTAAGTTTGTCACATATCCAGGGGACTGATGGCTGAAGGAAAACTTGATCATTCAGAGGATCTTTTCTCATCGAAGCAGTCAGATCAAGCGTGGAACCTAAGAGGTACTTATCGGTGTGATTTATGTTGGATTTTTAGTTTTAGTAATTTGATTGCTAAGAAATGAATTTTGTTCTAGAATTATTTGATCTTATTTTTTTTAACTTTGCGCTATTTCTTCAACTCCAATTCTAGGGTTTCAGATCAGATTCGCGACTTCAGAGTTGTTATTTTGGCTTGATGTCTTTAATTTAACTTTCACGATAATGTTTTGTTATAATTCTTTTTCATTTTCATTATTTTTTTCTAGAAATCTTAATGAGCAACGTGAGATTTTTCCACCATTTGCATTAATCAAACTACCATTTTTTGATTGATCTTATTCGAGCGCGTCGGTCTTTAAACATGCAGTGCAATGATTCTGTTTTGTTAAAATGTGGCACGAAGTGTCCGTTGTGTTTCCAGACTAAATGCAACTAAAATACACTCGTCTGTATTGATTTCGGTTTGCTATCTAATATTTTATTTTATTTTATTTTGCTTGAAGATTCCACGGGAAATCAGGAGGAAAAGGGGCCGATAGGATTACTTGATGTATCAAAAGGTAATTAATACTCGTAACTAAACTTTTCAGCATTCAGTGTCCCATTCTGGGCAGTATATAATATCCTCCATGGATCTCTGAATTCCCAGATTTCACAGATCAAGGAGCATGCGAGAACAGCATTCCTTTGTCTCCGCAATGGCTTTATGCTAAGCCAAGTGAGGCTAAGATGGTAAGTTCCGAGGCTCTAGTGCAATTCTCCTCTCTTGAGTTTCTTAAAAGGTGAATTTGCTTTTGTAGATTCTAGTTTGATTGATTCCAGTTCTATCTCCCGAATTATATAATCCTGTTTGGATGCTGTACAAACATCCAATGCTTGATTGAATCTACTGCAGTTTGGGATTTTTTGTAATTGGACTCAGCTAAATTACATTTGATTTCAATGCCATTTGAAATACGAAGCCAGACAGATTATTTTCTTGTTTGTAACCTGTGGACAAGTACCTCTAGAATATATCTTATCATTTGACATTGCAACTGTCGAATGTTTTTTTCTTGGGTGGAAACAATCTAATGAGACAAATGTTTTATTTTATGTTTGCAGAAGGAATGGTTAATCGTATCATTTGGAAAACTTTAAAGTGTTGTACTTTAGCATTATATTAAATTCTGTCTTTGCTGAGAGATACTGGGAGGGTGTTGGAACAAACTAAATGGGTACTTTTAAACATTGACTTGTTGGTGTAGCCAAAACAGCTCTTTTTGGTAATCTTGTTTCAAGAATAATGGTTTAGAACAGGCCTTATGTTGTTGTTTTATCGTGGTGGTGGTTTCCCTTTTTCCTGCTTGTCATAAATATGCACACATCATGTCCTGTGCTTTATATCTGCAATGAAACTTACTAATAATTTCATTATCTCTCTTATTGAGGAAACACGTGGACAAAGTTCACTTTCTCTTAGTGGTGTTGATTGGAATCAGAAGGAAGGCTGGCACTCAGATGCACCCGAGGACAAAAAAGATTGGAGAAGAATTGCTCCGGAAGGTGATAGTGGTCGCCGCTGGCGAGAAGAAGAAAGGGAAACTGGATTGCTTGGTAGAAGAGATCGCAAGAAGATGGATCGACGTGTTGATGCAGTGGGCAGAGAAACAGGTGAAAATAGAGTGTTGCCTACTCCTGAAAGGTGGCTTGATGCCAGCAGTCGTAAGTCTTCCGTTGAAGCAAGTCGTGATAGCAAGTGGTCTTCTAGGTGGTGTCCTGATGACAAAGAAAAGGAAGCTCGGATTGAGAAACGGGCTGATGTGGAGAAGGATGGTGCTCAGAATGAAAGTCAGTCAATTATGACAAGTAACCGATCTGGTTCTGAACGTAATGGAGATTCTCGGGACAAGTGGAGGCCACGCCACAGGATGGAGGGAAATTCTAGTGGTTCTGGTTCTCACCGAGCTGCGCCTGGATTTGGACTTGAAAGGGGAAGACTGGAGGGTTCAAATGTGGGGTTTACTATAGGACGTGGCAGATCTAGTGTATCCACTGTAAAGCCTCCATCTGGGGGATCAATTGGTGCTGCTCAATATGATAAGGGCGGAAGTGTTCCTGGAAAAACAAGTCTCTCTAATGGAAAGTTCTGGTATACTAGGGGAAAACTTCTTGACATATACCGTATCCAAAAGTTAGATCCCTCTTTTGCCAACATACCTGACAATTTGGAGGAACTACCCCAACTAACTCAAGTAACTGCTATTGAACCATTAGCTCTCGTTGCTCCGAATGCCGAGGAGGAGGTGAGATTTACAACTTTACCTTTTTAATAATGCTATTGAACTTGGTTGTGAATGGTGCTCTGACAAACTTGTCTGTTTTACAGGCCATCCTCGATGACATATGGAAAGGTAAAGTAAGAGGCAGCGGGGTATCATACAATTTATTTAGGAAGGGTGGATTATTGGATAATGTTTCAGGTGATTTAAGCTTTTACACCTCATTAGTTGCGCATTCAAATTCTCAAACATCTTTTCATCTGTCCTTTTTATTTTATTTTCTTTGGTGGTATTTATGATTCTGGATCACTTGCTGCATACATTTCTTCGTTACAAGTAGTGGAAAATGTAGAATCAGTCAGTGGAAAACGGGTCCTCCCTGCAGACATTGCAGAAGAGATGTCAGATGACTTGTCAAAAGCTACTCAAGATAATATTCATGAAGTAAGCGTGGATGACATCTTTTGCAACGACTTACTTAAATCAGGTTTGTAAGATGCGGGAGTTATGGAATACTGTTTTAATATTACTCAGAAATAGTTTTGTTCTGATGACTTATGGAAGCAAACACTTTTACCTTGCTTCAGAGAAAACTGTTAATGATTATGGAAAACGAGAAGTTTCTGAGTCAAGTGGAACAGATTTCAATAGCGGTGTCTTACAGGCTTTTAATGGTAGTCAATCCGATGGTTTGCAGCTCAAAGTTGCAGATTCTGCTGTTACCAAACAATCTTTGTTTGATGGAGAAGTCGATAATAAACTTCCTGATGGTTCAAATTCCGTATTTGGTGCTCCATCTTCTGAGCAGTACTGGGATGGCAGTCAGCATAAATTTGGCAGCAGAACTTCTGAAAATCAGTTGGAAAAGAGAATCCTTCCTGAGGAATTAAGTCTATACTATTGTGATCCTCAAGGAGATATCCAGGGACCTTTCCTTGGAGTGGACATCATTTCATGGTTTGAACAAGGATTTTTTGGGACTGATTTGCCCGTTCGCTTGGAAGATGCGCCTGATGATGCATCCTTCCTGGAATTGGGTGACATAATGCCACATTTAAAATTTAAACATGATTACGATACTATTACTGATTTAAGTTCTGATAGGGAAAAATCTGTTGCATTGGTGGAGAAATCAGAGGTTGGTTTACTAGCTTCTGCTTCTGCTCCTGTTTCTGAATCTGTTCCTTCTACTGCATTAGATGGTCCGACTTTGCAGTTATCTGATTTTGCTGCTTTCTTTTTACAGCATGGTGGGTTAGAAGTACCTAAGCACCATGGTCATCCATCACTAGGGTTGTATTCCGCTGGAAATCTCCACGATTTTGCTGCCGAAGATGAAGGTTTGCTCAACTCATCTCTGTTCTTGTTAATTCTGTTCACCAATTAAGTTGCATTTGTATCAAATAATCTTCACTGTTTATTCCACTCCAACAGAAATTGTGTTTCTGGAGAGACCTGGAAGTGGTGGCAATCCCGTTGGGAAATTTTCTAGGGGGTTTGGTGGAACTTCTGCCAATTTTGGTAACCAGCCAACTCTTCCTACTGAACTGACAGACTCTGGGTTCTCAACTCAGAAAGATAGTAAGTTGCATTCTCTTGGGTTGTTGTGGTCTGAGCTTGAAAGTACTTACATGAAGAATGGTCAGACATCAGATGCCTTAATTAGTGGACACGTTGAGGATCAAATTTTAAACCCCGTTTCCAGTAGATTTACTCCTAGTTCGATGGCTGATTCTGCTCATGCCACATTGCTGGATGTTTATGGAAGAAATTCTGTAACTGATCCCAAATTATTTCAAGATGTCTTGGAGGCTCGCCAGCACATGGACCAAGACTATAGCCGATTTGATTTAGAGGAAAAGCTACTGTTCCAACAACTGCAGCAGCAGCAACGTCATCAGCACAGTTTGATGCCTCTTCATGATACACAGCTGAATGAGGCAATGCTAGAACGAGTGCCAAGTCAGAATGTGATACACCACCAACAGTTGGTCAGTCAAACGGGGAAAGATCAGGAGCACTTTTTGGCCCTTCAGTTGCAGCAGCAGAGGCAATTGCAGCTTCAACAACAGCAGCAACTACAGTTCCATCAACAGCAAATGTTCTTGAAAGAGCAACAACAGTCCCAGTCTAGACATGTGCTTCTTGAACAGCTGCTGCAGAATCAAATTCGGGAGTCTGGCCGAGGACAGTTGCATATTGATGCTCTTAGATCGGACAGTACTCTTGAACAAGCAGTATTGAAGCAGCAAATTCTCAATGACATGCAACAGCGTACCCATTTTCCACCAAGGCATGCTGACTCATCCCTGGAGCGACTCATACAAGCAAAATTTGGGCAAATGCCTCATCACGGGCATCCAAATGATTTATTGGAACTTTTATCTAGTGGACATCATGGGAAGATTCATCCCTTGGATCAGCAGATTCTTCAGCTAGACCAGCTGCAGGGAAGATCTTTGCCACTGGGGCTCAGGCAGCGTTTGGAAATGGAAGAAGAAAGGCAAGTTAGTCCTGGGTGGCCTCTTGATGAAGCCAGTCAGTTCCTTAGAAATCCTGTACCTGCTCATCTGGCGAGCTCTGCTGGATTCAGCCCATCAGATCTTTATCAACAACAAAGAGCTTCTGCTGAGGAGCATCTCAGCCATCTTGAACGAAATGCTTCATTACAAGATAGACTACAACAAGGAATTTATGACCATGGCACGCTGCCATTTGAGCGCTCAATGTCACTACCTGTTGGTGCTGCTGGTGTAAACCTTGATGCTATGAATTCTATTGCCCGAGCTCATGGTTTAGAAATGCAGGAGCCGATCACCCAACTGCATCCCGGTGGTCAAGGCGGTAGATTCTCATCGGGGGTCTATTCTCAGCATTCACACCGGCCTTTAATTCCCAGTCAACTTTATGCTCCGCACTTGGACACCACCAACGGTCACTGGTCTGAGAATCAGAGTCAGTTATCCAATGATTGGATTGAATCAAGAATTCAACAACTACATGACAATGAGAGGCATAATAGAGAACTGAATGTCAAATCGACGATGGAAGATCCGAGTTTATGGATGTCATCTGGATTAAATGATGACAGTTCAAAGCGGCTGCTTTTACAATTACTGAATCAGAAACCGGGCCATCAGTCAGGTGAACCCTTTAATGCAACCAGTGAAGTATACCATGAGAGAACGCCGTCTTCTGGGACTGGTGCTACAAACCATTCGATTGCTCTTCTCTCAGATCAGGAAGAAAGTATCAACTCTTTTACAGTTAAGTCTTATGGTTCTGATTCTGGCAGAGGACCTCAGGATCAACTAGCTGATGGATTGTCTAGTGTTCTGGAACAAGGTGGATTGCAGTTTAGATCAAATTCTGGAGAATGTTTCATTTCTGGAATTGATGAAAGCTCTCAGGTAACTTACAACAACTATAGCATGAAATACATGTTATTCTTTGAACGAAATTTATTGAATATGGAGGAAATCACCTAAGGACTCATTATTGAAGATGATGATATTCAGGGACAAGCTTCAATATCTCAAGCAGGCCTGGCAGCTATAGATAATGGAGAGGTGCCTCTTAATGTACTTAGTCACCACACTTCACTTTGTTCTACTGGTAACTTTATGTTCTTGGTTGCCAATTATTTTTTTATTATTTTATTATTTTTATTTTTTTAATTCTCAACATATGATTGACTAAATCTCTGAGCTGTGGCCAGGGTTTCAATCAGCCAATTCTTTTTTGGAGGAGGCTGCTAAGGATAGGTGAGAACAAGCCTGGTTGCTCTTACAGCTATGGTTAGAGAAATTATTAGTAATTGAATTTCAATTCATTGCGGGTTTTACAAAGTTCCAGGGAAATTTAGTTTGGTGAAATAATATATTATTGTTTTCTGGAAACTGTAGTTCCCACTATTGGATTTTATTTACAAGTTTAATGTAATGGAGTTGCTAGATTGTTGTTTAGGTGAGAACTATGGTCCCACAATATTACTGTTTCTGAGTGGTTCCTAGGATCTTGGTTCTTAACATGTGATATGTTTGACCTGGGAATCGCATAACGGTATATATTTCTACATTCAAATTAAGCTGTTGTAGTTGCTAAATGCTTTTGTCTAGAATTCATGCTGTCACTCTTTTTACAATTTTGTTATATTCTCTATATATCTTTTGATTCAGCATTCCTTGCGTTTTGTGAGTAGGTTGCAATCCACCACATCAAAAATGTCGGAAAGCATCTTGCTGAGACGTCCACCTGTCTCACGGGCTGCATCTTCTCAGGGAGGGTTTTCTGAGCTGACTGCTGATTCAGTCACCAGAGGGAAAAAAATTCCAAGTGCTGTGCCTTCTGACGGTAGGAAGGATGATGCCAATTTTTCGTCTCGTGTTTTCATTTACCATTGTAATATGATGCTGAATGGCACTTGTTTTTTTGCCTTACATTTTCCCATTGTGTTGGGTGTGCTGGACTCAACTCACTTGTGGGGGGAGCGGACTCCCAATAGGTTTGAAATATGATTTCTTGTGCTTTACTGCTTATGTGAATTTAAATGACTCACGCTCCACATTTTCTTGCCATCATGTCAATTAGCAGGTACAGTGATAGTGCCACCTATTGCCTGAGAATTAGTTAATCTAATGGTTGTATTTTGTGGAACAGAAGGATTGGCATCTTTAATGATATTGAATTGAAATAGTTTATTGCAATAATGTTTCTCTATTTGTTTGCATGCACATGATTATCTCTGATGTCACATGCACATCTGATCAATAGAGAGGAGATAATGTATTAGAGGAGTTCATAGTTTTTCTCTAATGCTTGCCGCTTCCACTTGTATTTGTGCATTTCCAATTATTTACTTCATTTTTTTCCTTTCTTCCAGGGTTGAGAGGAGAAACGAGAGGGAACCCAGGAAATTCTGACACTGTGTCATCTGGAAATAAGGCTTTTCGACGGACTTCATCTTGCGGTGATGCTGATATCCTGGAGACATCGTTCAGCGACATGCTTAAAAGCAATTCTAAGAAACCGGCTCCTCAAGAAAGTAATGCTCCAGCAACTGGAGCTTCAGAGCCATTGGACGGGACAACGGGGGCAAGAAACAGCAAAAAGAAGGGGAAGAAAGGTAGACAAATTGATCCTGCTCTTCTCGGATTCAAAGTCACAAGCAATCGGATCCTGATGGGTGAGATACAGCGAATAGAAGATTAATTTCTCCTGTTGTACAGGTTTGAGTTTGTATAGTTTATTTAATTCTTTTATTATTGTTTTCCCAGCACCCAGTTGTATATCATTGTTTAGGATGTAAAGGGTTGATGACTGTTAAATATTTATTGACTTGGGATTGATCAATGAATTTGTATAGACATCTTTAATACGAGTAGCTAATGAACGAAGAATAATGGTACCATGCCATGCCAAATCAGTCCTCTCTATGGTTTTATAGATATTGTTCAACGGTAATATCAATCAATTCTTGCGTGTACGAATTTTTTTTACACGGTATGTACGCTTGGTTGACACTCGGCATGATAAAATTTCATTCCTGTTTGACCTTAAGTTTTTAAAATTCATTTTTACCAATCCCAATTTTTTTTCAAGTACACATTATCAAAGTTTAATTATACATTTGATAAATTTTTACCAAATTTGAATAAATTTTGATTTTTAGTCGGACCAAAATGGGGTTTAGTTTCTTAAATCTCATACTTCAGGGTTGGTCTTAGGGTGCTTTTGTTCGTGAATATAGAATTTGTATAGGAAAGAAATAAATTTTATGTAGTTTAATTTTCTGAAATTTGTTTGTATGGAAATTATTAATTAAATGTGTTTAATTATTTAGTTTTTAATTTCAAAAATATTATATTTATTTATTTTTTATTAGTGGGTAGACGAGAGAGAAGGGATATATGAGAGGGAAAGAAAGTGAATTACCTAAACTACCACTTCCTTATATATATATTCCTTATTTTTGAAAAAAAATATGGCCATATGATAAAAATTTGGAAAATATTTTTCATAAAAAAAAATAATTGTCAATCAAACATTTTAAAAGTAAAAATTTGGGTTTAACAAAAAAAAAAAAGAAAAAAAAAGAAGACATTTTCTCATGGAAAATAAAGTCAATTAAATACTCTTATTGTAATTTACATGGTCCATGTTGGGAGGTTGATAACATGAACGAGATCACAGGCTGGGTAAAGTCGATTTTCTATATGGACTTTGCTACATGTACATTAAAATTTATATAATGGATTATATAATATTACATGTCACAGTATCATCTCTCACTTCAAAACACAATTAACTTTTTCATCCAATCTTTTTCCTCAACATCATTTTATGTAATCATATATATATATATATATATATATATATATATATAAATAGCATAATCATTTTCATATTTATATCCTTAGTCTTTGCTTCTTTACACGTCCTCAGAGACGGATTTCGAGGGGCGGGCTGGGTTGCAGCCCCAGGCACAATAACATTTTTTTAAGTTGTTTTTTATTTTTTTGGTAAAAAACTAATTTTTTAATTGTAAATTTTTTCCCCAATGTAATAGTCCGATTTGAAATTTTGTAGCCCGATCTTAGATCCAATCATGGATCCGTCCCTACACGTTCTTGTTATTTCCTTGTAAAAAGTAATCGTTTAATGAAACCTCATTGAATCCAATAAGCTAGAATTCCATTTCTACATTGTTTACTCCCATGGTATTTCCTTTATCTAGAATAATAATTTTGCAAGTACAAGAAATTTACACAGAAGCTGTATGGGATTTTAAAAAATATGACCTGTCAATTCTTTAACCAAGGCAGATGAAAAATAAAATGAATTAAGATTATGCGACATCATTTATTTTGAATTCTTGTACATCTCCTGTGAATAATTTTCTGTACGTATAGCAGGATTCTATTTAGAATTTTCAATGTGTTGACACATAAAAATTCGGCCTAAATCGAACGGCCCAAAGAATGAAGCCCAATAGGAGGATTCCCAAATCAGATAGCCCAAAGGATGAAGCCCAATCAGACAATTCAGGATGAAAGCCCAAATAGGGAAGCCCAGGAACGCGGTAACACCATCGCCCAAGCTTGTAAATCGCCCAGGACCTGAGCGAATGAAGTGCCATGCAGTCGCCCAGAACTGCTACTTTATTCTCTACCCAAACTTTCGAGTCGCCCAAGGTCTTAGCAAACATGAAGTGTTGTGGTTATCAAGAACGCAGTTATCAAAACAGTTATTAAGTAGACATATCACGTTCCACGATTCAAGGAATTCAATCGCAAACGGTTGAACGACGAAGAGTAATGACAGCGTTAAAAAAGGGAGTTCCATGGCAAGTTGGCCATTACGAGGAAAGTGGGCAGTTATAGAACGATCAAGCAGTTTTTAGGCGGTTGATCACAAAAAGATCATCCAGGGAGTATAAAAGGAAGAAAAGACATAGAGCAGAAGGACCGAATCAAAAAACTCTCGAACAGAGAACATGTAATTTTAAATTTCTTAATTTAGATTTAAACACTTCTTTCAGTAACTCGTGTGCTTGCGCCCTTTGAAGGCATTCTGTTTTTAATTTTCAATTGTAAAGTCATCGTCAATAAAGAACACTCCTTTTTGGGACTTTGTCTCAAGAGGTTTGTCCTTACACAATCATCTGATCCCTTTTTAATTGTTAGCGACGAACCCGCGTGAAACACAATGAAAATTTTCTTTACAAGAAATCCATTATTAAATAAGATTCAATTAACACTTCGAAATTCTAGTTAAATAATGCAAGAATGCTTAATCTTCTACAAGTAGAAATTGATATTTAAAGATTTGCTTCACTGTTTCACCAATGATCCATTTCAATTCAGAAGACGATAAATGCACTTCTTGGGCGTGAAAAAAAGTTGAAAAACAAAAAATCTTCAGAGATTAATTACATAAAATAGATAATTGTTTTAAATCGATTTTTCAAGATTGTTCGTTTATCTTCATAAACCTTCCAAAACAAATATTTATAGAATCATCACGACTGGTGAAAAGATCATTGAAGATAATTACTTCCTCATCACACGAGTGTTAATACGCTTTTTAGTCTTCTTGCACCTTCAATTGATGTGTATGGAAAAATCATTTTAAGGTTTAATTATATTCTTCGATACCATTTTTACCTTATGCAAATGATTTGTTATTTAAACAATAGTTATGTAAATTAAATTACTTCATCACGTAATTCCAATGTTACTGTCTATTTTGATCTTATCCATCTTGAAAACATCTTTTATTCAAGAAGATTGAATACGATTATTAGATAAAATGTATATTAAAATATGTTAAATGCTTTGAAAGTTAAATTACTTTGATAGCGAAGGTGATTTTATTTATTTATTTATTTATAAATACTTAAATTTAATCCACTCAAAAGTAAGAAATTAAAGAAGTTCACCTCGAAATGATGATTTTATCTCTTCATGATCATTATAAATTTAATATGCTTATTTATCACATATACATAAGAATGAAATCGTCTTTGTAATAAAATTTGATTTTGTTAATTAAAAATAAATCTATGTTGGGATCAAAATGAAATGTGGATCAAAAGATGGGGACCTGAGCTGCTATTATCCCTTAATTAAGTTGCCTGTTTTGACAGACCACCCAAACCCTTACCCAACCCTTTCTCTCTGCTTCACCCTCTCGCTCTCTGCAACTCTCTCTTCAATACTTTCACAAAACCTAATTCTCTCTCTATATTCATATATAAATCCCTCGCTTGGAAATTTGCATTGGTAGCCTTCAATTTTCATTTCCCCTTGTCTAAATCTCTGTCCTATTGTGTGTTTTTCTTCCTTGAAGTTTGTGATATATCCATTGTTCTGATGGCTGAAAGAAAACTGGATCTCTCGGAGAGTCTCTTTTCATCGAAGCAGTCTGATCAATCATGGAATCCGAAAGGTACTTAGCTGAGCGATTTATGTTGGATTTTTAGTTTTGATAATTTGATTGCTATGAAATGAATTTTTTCTTAAGAGTTATTTTTATAACTTTGCGGTTTTTCTTTAACTCAAATTCTAGGGTTTCAGATCAGATTACTGACTTCGAAGTTATTTATAATTTTGGCGAGATTTCTTTAATTTAATTTTTAAGATAAGAATGTTTCGTTATACTTCTTTTCACATACATTGTTTTTTCCTAGAAATCTTAATGGGAACTTTAAATTTTATGTATCAGTCACATTAATCAAACTACACTTTAAATTCAACTGATGTTATTTGAGAGCGTGGCCGACCGCTGTGTTGTGATTTGGTTTAATTAAAATTTTCCATGTCGGTTGACTTCCAGGCTGTTTGTGACTAAAATAAAACCGTATGTGTTGATTTTATTTACATATATCTTATCTATTTTAATTGTATTTGATTGAAGATTTTGTAGGAAATGAGGTGGAAAAGGGGCTGATGGGATTGCATGATGAATCGAAAGGTATTTTTTACTTTTTAACCAAAATTTTCAGTATTGAATATCCCATGCTTGTCGTATATAATATCCTTGTTCCATATTTCACAGATCAAGGAGCATGTGAGAACAATATTCCTTTGTCTCCACAATGGCTTTATGCTAGGCCAACTGAGACTAAAATGGTAAGCTTTGAAGCACTTGTGCAATGCTTGCTTTTGAGTGTTCTAGTTTGATTGATTCCAGTTCTATCTCCAGAATTCTAGACTCCTGTTTGGACTCTCTACATACTTCAAATCATTGACTGAATCATTGCAGTTTGAGGGAGTTTGTAATTGGACTCAGTAAAAATCTGATTTCAATGCGAAACGGACGTACTAGTCTTATTTGAAACCTGTGGACATTTATAAGAAATCCTATTATTTAACGTTGCAGCTGCTGAATTTATGTTTCTTATGTGGCAATGATCTACTGGGATATTTGGTTTTATGATTGCACGAGGAATGGATATGATTGTATCATTTTGGAAAACTATAAAATGCTCACTTCATCAATTATGTTATATTAATTCTTTCGTCTTTTCAGAGAGCTACCACGAGGGGTGTTGTGCCCTGGAGATGGTATCATATAAAATGAACTTTAAAGCCGATGTCAGTGTGATGGAATATTAGAAGGATATTGTTATATTTAGTTTCCAACTTTAATTCGTATTTTAGGAAACATAATTTAGTTTAATTTAGTTGCTTTTATTATATATTTTCTACAGAGAATAGGGTCTTTTGAAACTCTATATAAAGGGTCTTTGCGATGTAATTCAAAGAACTTGATTATATGAAATAAATTGATTTCTTCCCCAATTCCTATCTTCCCCTCTCCCTCTTCTTATCTCCTCCCCCTGCTTTCTCCTCTTCTTTCCCCTTTCCCTTCTGCTATGATTCTAGTATTGCATCCTGCATCAGGTAGCCAAAACAGCTCCTTATTGTTATTTAGTATTAAGTATAATGGTTTAGAGTTGATCTTATTTTGTCGTTTTATTGTGGTAGATATTTCCCCTTTTCCTGCTTGTCATAAATATGCCCACTTCATGTCCTGTGCTTTATATCTGTTAATAAATTTACTAATAATATGATTCTCTCTCTTGTTTAGGAAACACGTGGACCAAGTTCACTTTCTCTTAGTAGTAATGATTTGAATCAGAAGGAAGGTTGGCGCTCTGATGCACCCGAGGACAAAAAGGATTTGAGAAAAACTGCACTGGAAGCTGATAGTGGTCGCCGCTGGCGAGAAGAAGAAAGGGAAACTGGATTGCTTGGCCGAAAAGATCGTAGGAAGATTGATCGACGTGTTGATACCTCGGGCAGAGAAACAGTTGAAAATAGAGTGTTGCCTGCTCCTGAAAGGTGGCTTGATGCCAGCAATCGTAACTCTTCCCATGAAACAAGGCGTGATAGCAAGTGGTCTTCTAGGTGGGGTCCTGATGACAAAGAAAAGGAAACTCGGATTGAAAAAAGGGTAGATGTGGAGAAGGAAGATGCTCATTATGAAAGTCAATCACTCATGTCAAGTAGCCGTTCTGTTTCTGAACGTGATGGAGATTCTCGAGACAAGTGGAGGCCACGCCACAGGATGGAGGGAAATTCTGGTGGTTCTGGTTATCATCGTGCTGCGCCTGGATTTGGACCTGAAAGGGCACGATTTGAGGGTTCAAATGTGGGGTTTACTGTAGGACGTGGCAGATCTACTGCATCCATTGTAAAGCCTCCATCTGAGGGACCAATTGGTGCTGCTCAATATGTTAAGGGCGGAAGTGTTCCTGGAAAAGCAAGTCTCTCTGTTGGAAAGTTCTTTTATCCTCGGGGGAAACTTCTTGACATATATCGTACCCAGAAGCTTGACCCATCTTTTACCAACATGCCTGACAATTTGGAGGAACTACCCCAACTAACTCAAGTAACTGCTGTCGAACCATTAGCTTTTGTTGCTCCCCAGGCTGAGGAGGAGGCGAGTTTTACAACTTTTCCTTTTTATTAATAGAAATATTTAATGCTATAAAACTTGATTGTGAATAGCACAATGACAAACTCATCCCTTTTTACAGGCCATCTTGAACGACATATTGGAAGGTAAAATAAGTGGCAGTGGGTTATCATACAATTTAGTTAGGAAGGGTGGATTGTCAGATAATGATACAGGTGATTTATCCTTTGAAACCTCATTAGTTGCACCTTCAAATTCTGAACATTTTGATCTTTCATTCTTTTAATTGTATTTCCTTTGGTGGTATTTGAATATTTCTCTCGCTAACTGCATATGTTTCTTTGTTTTGATTAGAAGAAAATGTGGATTCCGTTGGTGCAAAACAGGTCCTCCCTGCAGATATCACAGAAGAGATACTAGATGACTTCTCAAAAGCTACACAGGGTAATATTCACGAAGCTAGTGTGGATCATATCTTTTACAACAACTTAATTAAATCAGGTTCGTAAGATGTGAAATTTATAGAAAACTGTTTTAATATTACTGAGAAAGAGTTTTACTCTGATGACTTATGAAAGCAAACATTTTTACCTTGCCTCAGAGAAAACTGTTAATGATTATGGAAAACAAGAAGTTTCGGAGTCAAGTGGAACAGATTTGAATATCAGTGGCTTACAGGCTTCTATTGGTCGTCAGTCCGATGGTTCGCAGCTCAAAGTTGCAGATTCTGCTGTTACCAGACCTCTGTTTGACGGACGTTCATCTGTTACACTGTTGGAAGTCAATAATAAACTTCCTGATGATTCAAATTCCCTATTTGGTACTCCAACTTCTGAGCGGTATTGGGATGGCAATCTCCATAAATTTGGCAGAACTGAAAATCAGTTAGAAAGGAGAATCCTTCCTGAGGAATTAAGTCTGTACTATCGTGATCCACAAGGAGATATCCAGGGACCTTTCCTTGGAGTGGACATTATTTCATGGTTTGAACAAGGGTTTTTTGGGACTGATTTGCCCGTTCGCTTGGAAGATGCTCCTGATGATGGATCCTTCCAGGAATTGGGTGACGTTATGCCACATTTGAAATTTAAACATGGATGTGATACTATTACCGATTTTTATTCTGATATAGAAAAATCTGTTTCATTGGTGGATAAATTAGAGGTAGGTTTACAAGCTTCTGCTTCTGCTCCTGTTTCTGAATTTATTCCCTCTACTTCATTAGATGGTCCGAGTTAGCAGTCATCTGATTTTGCTGCTTTCTTATTACAGCTTGGTAAGTCAGAAGTACCTGAGCATCATGGTCGTCCATCACTGAGGTTGTATTCCTCAGGAAATGTTCATGACTTTGCTACCCAAGATGAAGGTTTGGTTATCTTAAATCTGGACTTGTTAATTCTGATGATCAATTAAGTAGCATTTGTATCTAATCATCTTCACTGTTTTTTTCCAATTTAACAGATATTGTGTTTCCAGGCAGACCTGGAAGTGGTGGCAATCCTGTTGGGAAATTTTCTAGGGGGTTTGGCGAAACTTCTGCCAATTTTGGTAACCAGTCGACTCTTCCTACCGAACTGAAAGACCCTGGAGTCTCATCTCAGAAGGATAGTAAGTTGCATCCTCTTGGGTTGTTGTGGTCTGAGCTTGAAAGTACTTATGCTAAGAATAGTCAGATGCCAAATACTTTAGCTAATGCACATGTTGAGGATCAACATTTAAACCATGTGTCCGGAAGATTTGCCCCCTCCAGTTCAATGGCCAATTCAACTCATGTGTCTGGAAGATTTGACTCCTCAAGTTCAATGGCCAATTCAACTCATGCCACAGAGACGTGGTCAGATGTTTATGGTAGAAATACTCTTTCCGATCCCAAACTCTTTCCAGATGTCATGGAGGCTCGCCAGTGCATGGACCAAGACTATAGCCACTTTGATTTGGAGGACAAGCTATCGTCCCTACAACTGCAACAGCAGCATCGTCATCAACATAGTTTAATGCCTCTTAATAATACGCAACTGAATGATGCAATGCTAGAACGAGTGCCAAGTCAGAGTATGATGCACCACCAACAGTTGGCCAATCAAACAGTACAAGATCTGGAGCACTTTTTGGCCCTTCGGTCGCAGCAGCAGAGGCAATTGCAGCTTCAACAACAGCAACAACAGTTCCACCAACAGCAAATGTTCTTGAAAGAGCAGCAAGAGTCCCAGGCCAGACAGGTGCTTTTTGAACAACTGCTGCAGAATCAAATTCGGGAATCTGGCCAAGGGCAGTCTCGTGTTGATGCTCTTAGATCAGACAGTGCTCTTGAACAAGCAATATTGAAGCAGCACGTTCTTAATGACCTGCAACAGCGTTCACATTTTCCACCAAGGCGTGCTGACTCATCCCTGCAGCAATTAATACAAGCAAAATTTGGGCAAATGTCCCATCAAGGGCAACCTAATGACTTGTTGGAGCTGTTATCTAGAGGAAATCATGGGCAACATCCCTTGGATCAGCAGATTCTTCAGCTAGAACAGGGAAGATCTTTGCCGTTGGGTCTCAGGCAGCGTTTGGAAATGGAAGAAGACAGGCAAGCTAGTCATGGGTGGCCTCTTGATGAAGCCAATCAGTTCCTTAGAAATCCTGCAACTGCTCATCGAGCTGGCTCCTCTGGATTCGGTCCATTAGATCTTTATCAGCAACAAAGAGGGGCTGCTGAGGACCAATTCAGCCATCTTGAACTAAATGGTTTATTACAAGAGAGAATCCAACGAGGAATTTATGACCATGGCATGCTGCCGTTTGAGCGCTCAATGTCACTACCTGATGGCTCTACTAGTGTAAACCTGGATTCTATGAATTCTATGGCCCGAGCTCATGGTTTAGAAATTCAGGAGCAGACTACACGACTGCATCCAGGTGGTCCAGGCAGTAGATTCTCATCAGGGATCTACTCTCAGCATTCATACCAACCTTCAATTCCCGATCAATTTCATCCACACTTGGACACCACTGAGGGTCACTGGTCTGAGAATCATAGTCAGTTATCCAGTGACTGGGTTGAATCAAGAATTCAGCAACTACATAATGATAATGAGAGGCATAAGAGGGAAGCGGATGTCAAATGGACAATGGAAGATCCGAGTTTATGGATGTCATCTGGACTAAATGATGACAGTTCAAAACAGCTGTTCATGGAATTACTGCATCAGAAATCGGGCCAACAGACCAATGAGGTATCCCAAGGGAGAAGGCCTTCAGGGACAGGTGATGCAAATCATTCAATTAGTCTTCTTTTAGATCAGGAGGCAGGTACCAAGCACTCCTTTACCATTGGGTCCTATTGTTCTGATTCAGGTGGATTACTTCAGGATCTACTAGCTGATGGAATGACCAATGCTCTGGAACAAGTTGGATTGCCTTTAAGCTCAAAGTCTGGAGAAAATTTCAGTTCTGGAATTGGTGAAAGCTCTCAGGTAATTTACAACTACTCTAGCATGGAATACATATTATTCTTTGAGGTAAATTTATTGAATGTGGAGGAAATCACCCAAGTACTCATTAGTGAAGATGGTGATATGCAGGGACCAGATTCAGTATCGCAAGCAGGCATAGTTGAGCGGGCTGGCCTTGTAGATAGTGGGGAAGTACCTGTTAGCGTATTCGATCAGCATGCTTCATTTCGCTCTACTGGTAACTTTCTGTTCTTGGTTGCTTTCCTTTCTCGTTCTTCCACATACGTAAATGTGAATCACTAAATTTCTGAATTGTGGCCAGGGTTTAATTCAACCGATTCTTTTTCGGAGGAGGCTGCTAAGGATAGGTAAGAACAATCTTGGGTGCTCTTACTGCTATAATTAGAGAAATCTCTAGTCATTGAATTTTTAAATTCTTTTCGACTTTGACAAAATTCCCGAGAAAATTTACTTTGGCGAAATAATATATCGTTGTTTTCTGGGAACTGTAGTTCCCACTATTTGGACTTCATTTTGAATTTTAATGTAATGTAGTTAATAGATTGTTGTCTCGGTGGGAACTATTATTATTATTATTATTTTTGATAGGTAATCAGATAATTTTATTAATCAAAGGAATCTAGGTGGGAACTATTATTCCACTAATTATTATTTCTGGGCATTTTCTAGGATGTTGTTTCTTAATAAGTGACAAAGTTTCGCTTGAAATCAGATTGGAAGTAGTAGATATTATTTCTGCATTTAAATTAAGCTGTTGTAGTTGTGGAATATTTGTTCGAGATTTCTTGATGTCACTGTTCTTTCTGTAAATTTTGTTATCTTCTCTATGTCTCTTGATTCAACATTTTTACACGTTATTATGGGCAGTTTGCAATCCACCACATCAAAAATGCCGGAAAACATCTTGCTGAGACGTCCACCTGTTTCACGGGCTGCATCTTCTCAGGGAGCGGTGTCTGAATTGACTGCTGATTCAGTCATCAGAGGAAAACACATTCCAAATGCGGTGCCTTCTGACGGTAGGAAAGGATTTTAATTTTTCATCTTCTGTGTTTTTATTTACCATTGTAATGCCTCCTCGTGTTTTTTGTAACAGATGTATTGGCATCTTTATTATTCACATGTATTTGTTCATTTCTAATTACTCGCTTCACTTTTTCTTCTTGCTTTTCAGTGATGAGGGGAGAAACGGGAGGGGATCCAGGAAATGTTGACCGTCCATCATCTGGCAATAAGTCCATGGAGTTTCAACGGGCTGATGCTGATGCTGATGTCCTTGAGACGTCGTTCAGTGACATGCTTAAAAGCAATGCTAAGAAACCGACTCCTCAAGAAAGTAATGCACCAGCAGCAGCTGGAGCTTCAGAGTCATCAGAAGTAATGGGGGCAAAAAACAGCAAGAAGAAGGGGAAGAAAGGTAGACAAATTGATCCTGCTCTTCTAGGATTCAAAGTCACAAGCAACAGGATCCTGATGGGTGAGATACAGCGGATAGAAGATTAATCTCTCCTGTCACCGTAATTTGTTGTAGAGGTTTGAGTTTGTATAGTTTTTTTAGCAAAGTTAATTCTTTTGTTAAAGTTTTCCTATCGCCCAGTTGTATTTCATTGGTGAGGATGTAAAGGCGGTTCTCGGCTTGTTTAGTTTTTAGAGGTAAATTTGACTTAGGATTGCTCAAATATTTTGTACAGATTTTTTACGCACATCAAATCAACAAAGAATAATGGTACTATGCCAAATCAGTAAATTTTGCTTAATATGTTACGTAAGAACAAGTCTAATGGCCAAGTTCAAGAGGAATGGCAGATGATGGCAACATGCAATGACAAGCTCAAAAGCAAGATAGATGATCTATGTACTAGTACTGCAGTCAAGAAGGCTAAAAAGAGGATAATCCCTCTCTTGATATCGAAATGATTTAGTGAGAAGGGGATCATCCTACATTAGCATAGTGATTCAACACCTCAGGTTCTAGTTTTGGTTAGATGAAGTTGCAATAACTTTCGAAACTTCATAGCTGGACTCGGTTTGAGTCTATTGCTTTCGATCATTAGATATTTTGCCCACTTACATCTTGAGCTTTTCTTGATTTGTTTGGATGTAACTTCATATCAAATGATATCTTAATTCTTCTCTTGGATTTTGCTGCTGCTTAAGTGAAATCTCTAAGATTTGGTACAGTTTTGAACGTGTTTCAGCTCATGCAATTTGGGTCTTGCACTGTTTCGGCCAGATTCATTGTTCTAGGGGTGAAACTATTTATAGATTTTCAAAGGCAGATTCGAGTTTCAGTGTTTTAGCAAGTGCTTTTGGGTTTCGTGTTCAAGGCTCCCTTTGTTTTGCCAGATTCAAGCCCCACCTTTGGAGTTTTTATTTGGTCTGCAGCTTGGATCCTCTTCTTGGAGGTTCATAGTTTCATATCAGCTTGGTATTCCTTGGTTCAGTTCGGCCAGAACGTTGCACTGGGCCAGATGAATATCAACTTTCCAGAATACTTGGTTTTCAACTGGGTTCTTGGATTGTGATCGGCCTGCTCCTTGGGGTTCAACGTGGGGGAGTTCTACTTGCTTGTCAACTTCACTTGAATATCTTGAAGATTGTATGTATGTATTTGGTTATTTTCCCTATTTTGATATTGGTCAAAGAAGTTGGAAGTGTTTGGCAGCTTTTTGGAGTCTTGTAACGGCTACATTGGGTTAAAAATTTGTCTTTTGCCACCCACTTACCTAGTTATTCTGACTTTGGTCACAGGCTTGCAGATTTCTGTCTCCTTTCACCTTTTCACCTTCAACGGTCCATATTTCTTCCTGAGCCTTTTGGACACCTGCTGTAAATGGGCAGGAAAAAGGGCCATCATAGTGGACCACTCCACTTAAAACACCTCCCCAGGCCAACAAAAATGTCCAGCAAACAGTAAAGGATATGGTAGGTCCAATTAAGCCTGATATTGCCCCAATCCTTGCTATCCAAAAACAACAGTTAATTGCTGACCCAAACAAGCAACATGCTGGAAATTTGATTCAGGCAGCTCAGATTGCTGGAGTTTCGAGCAAGGTAAGCAATGTTACAACAGATAAGGATTTTTGGAAAGGTCTTAGCGATGAGAACTCACCAAGTGTGTCCCAAACACTTGGTGATGACGATACAGATTCAGGAAGTTTGACTGGGGCGATTTAGGTAATCAAAGATGATGTTGTTAGCGGCGAAAAAACTACCAAAGCTCCATGGGTGGATCTTTTTAAGGATAACAGGAAATCTGAAGATGGTTTTAAGATGCGATCATTCGAAAATCTGCCCGAAGAAGTGGTTTTAACCGAAAATGATGCGGATGATGTTGAGAAGTCGATGGGTTATTGCCTTGTTGGGTACTTTGCAGGTAGATTCCCGGGGAAATCAGCCCTGCTTCAACTTTGCGACTCATGGAAGGTAAAGTACCAATACTTAGTACACAAAAGTGGTTGGTTGATCTTCAAGTTTGAAGATGAATCTGAAAGATTAAGTGTGCTTCATGGAGGGCCCTACTTCGTCTTTGGGAGACCATTAATGCTTAAAGTTATGCCCCGTTATTTCCAGTTTGATGATAAAGAGGTTTGCACCATGCTGGTGTGGATAAATTTACCGGGTTCACCCTTGGAATTTTGCGATCCGGTGGCATTGGGGAAGATCGTTTCTAAAGTTGGTAAACCAATTTCCACTGACAAACTCACTGCCACAAAAGGTAGACTTTTCTATGCAAGAGTACTTGTTGAAGTTGATGCCTCAATTGAATTGGTGCGGTTAGTTAAGTCGAAGCTGCCTAACGGAAAGCCTAGGGAGCAAGAGATTTACTTTGAACATGAGCCGAAATTTTGTGCCAAATGCAAAGTTTTTGGCCATAATACACATGGTTGCAACCTTAAAAAACAGGCTGCAAATGCTAAGGGAAAGGACAGCGACGTTAACACACCGAATAGATCACATGCTGCTTCACAAATGACGAGTGGACAGGATACAGAAATCAAGCACATTGGAGGAACAAATTTCGGACCAGGCTATTTTGATATCACAAAAAGAACAGAAAATTGCTAGAACTCAGCAGCAGAGAGGATCACAGACTAGGCAAAATGCTGTGGTAGATGCACCACAGCCTGGCACAAACAATCAATTGCTGGACAACTGATTAGCATGATTGAGAACCAGCAGGGTGATGGACAATTCATTGAGGTTAACAAGAATAAGGGCAATGTGCAACTCCAATCCAGATAGAGGCAACTCAAGTGGCTAATCCTACTTCACAAGGACTACCAAACAATGAAAAGTTGAAAGGAAAGCTCGACAAGCAAAGGAAAATTTTGGCTTCTAAAGATAGTAGGAAGAAGTGAATTTCCCTTGCTTCATCATCATGAAGATCGCATCATGGAATATCAGGGGTTTGAACCTACCCCTAAAGCAAAATGGGGTTCGAAGCTTCATCAACCAACACAACATTGATGTTATGTGTATATTGGAGACAAAACTTGGGGTACCAAAATAGATCGTATTATGCGGAATAAATTCAACGGATTGTTGCAAGTGAACAACTTCCTTACTCATCAGGCCGGGCGTATTTTGATCTTATGGAATCCTTTGAAAGTTGAACTAGAAGGACTAGAGACCTCACCACAAGTTATTCGTTGTTTGGCTAAATGCAAGGTAACTTCTTATATCTTCCATGTTAGCTTATTTATGCTTTTCATTCTATTGTTACCCGAAGACCCCTTTGGTACAACATTAAGGAATTTGGCTTAAACCATGATTTACCATGGATGTTAGTCAGGGACTTTAATAATGTGCTTAAAAATGATGAGAGGAGCAACGGTGCTCAAGTTACTCCATATGAAGGTAGGGACTTTGAAAGTTGTTGCCTTAGTGTTGGCCTCACGGACGTTAGATCCATTGGCTATTATTCACTTGGACTAATTCTTCAATTTGGAGCAAGATAGATAGGACTATGGTAAATGATACTTGGGTACAAGTAGGACTCCATTGCCTAGCTGATTTTCAACCTTCAGGCTGCCTCTTGGACCATTCACCTTATATCGTTTTGATGGTTGAACACGATGGGAGCAGAAGAAAGTCATTCAGAGTATTCAACATGTGGACAAACCATGATGATTTTCGGGATGTTGTTCAAATAGACTGGAATCATGCGGTTTTGGGCACTAAACACTTCATTCTTTGCAAGAAATTACATCATCTCAAAGGGGCCTTGAGAAAGCTAAATGAGAAACACTTTGGGCACATTTCTAATAGGGTTGAGGCAGCAAAAAGGAACCTGAAAGTAGCTCAACTCGAGTTACATGACTCTCAACTTCAATATAAGGTGCAACAATTGAGAAAGGAAGCTATGCATCTATGTGAAGCAGAGAGGAACTTCTATTTTCAGAAAGCCAAGTGTTCCTACTTGAAAAGCAGTGACATATGTACTAAATTTTTCCATTCGATGGTCAAGAGGAATACAAAGAAGAATTATATTGTAGTTGTAGCAAAAGAGGATGGTACTCTTACCACTTCTCAAAATTAGGTTGCCGCATAATTTTTTCGATTTTATGAAACACTACTAGGAACCAACAGTCAAGTCCATCCGATTGATTCTGTTATTTTAAAGGCTGGGCCTGGGATCTCTTCGGAACATTTTACGGCACTAGCTAGGGACATTTCGAGGCAAGAGATCAAGGATGCTTTATTTGATATTGGTGACGATAAATCACTAGGACCCGATGTATATATTTCATGTTCTTTCAAAAAGTCTTAGGAGACTGTCAGGAATGATTTCATGGGAGGAATTGAAGAGTTCTTTACTTCAAAATCTCTACTTAAACAAATTAACGATACTGTCATTGCATTGGTGCCTAAGTCGAGCCACTCACCTACCATTGGGGATTTTAGACCTATTGCATGTTGTAACGTATTCTACAAAGTTATCACAAAGATACTTGCTAATAGATTGAGCCCGATACTTGAGAATATTACTGACCGTGCATTGGCCGCATTCATCAAGGGACGGAGTATGACGGAAAATATACATCTTGCACAAGAATTGTTGAGACAATATAATCGGAAGCGAGTCTCTCCTAGATGTCTTTTAAAAATTGATCTTCATAAATCATATGACTTGGTAAGTTGGGATTTCTTTAAAGACGTCCTTATTAGGTTGAACTTCCCTCCAAGATTTATTGATTGGGTAATGGAATGCATCACTACACCTTCATACTCCATTGCATTAAATGGTAGTTTACATGGTTTCATAAAAGGCAGAAAGGGACTTCGACAAGGAGATCCTCTCTTCCCCTTCTTATTTGTGCTATGTCTTGAATATTTCTCAAGAATGTCGAAGGCTGCAATTGATAATGGTGAGTTTAATTTTCACCCTAAATGGGGTCTACTTAAGATTACACATCTTGCCTTTGCTGATGATTTGATGCTTTTCGCGAGAGGGGATGTTATATCAGTTCGCATTTTAATGGAATGCTTGGATAAATTTGGAGATTCTTCGGGACTTCGAATGAATACCATGAAATCAAGTTTATTTACAGCTGGTATTCAGGGACATGAGTTGGAAGAAATTCAAGAGTTGACAAGTATTCTGAAGGTTCGATGCCTTTTTGTTATTTGGGTGTATCCCGCTAGCTACCGGAAAGCTTAAGTCGGCTATTTTACATCTCTCTTAGACAAGATTTTAGCATACATAAGCGCTTGGATAGCATCTTCACTCTCATATGCTGGAAGAGCAGAATTA